AAAGAGGAGCACTGTGCTGAGGAAAGGTAGCAGAATGCAGAAGCACATCCAGGGATCTTTTACTCACTGGGACCAGTCCTCTTTCTCCTCTCAGGTGCTTGAAATGGGTCACAGCAGATCTCCTCACAACCTCCCACCTCTAAACAAGCACCCATCGCACCCAGAGCAAGCCTGGCTACATTAAAGCTTGTCTTCCATCTCCCAGTCCAGACCTCAGTCTGCAGTGCTGCAAGATGGCAGCAATTTTTAATGGCAGCCTGGTGATGTCTCCAAGTGAAAAATTTCAGCATCAAAGGGACGAGGACAGGAGAAACCAGAGAATCTGGATTCCTGCCTTCAGAGCTTCCTGTGCAGCGCTGAACACCATGCAGGTGCCTCGCTCCCAGTGTTTCTCCATGCCTTCACACCTCACTGCAGTGGTACCCAAGCATCCCTGCAGAGTCACACCTCATTTCCTCCCTCCACTTCCCTTTCCAGCCTAGACAACAAAAAAGAAAAAAAAAAAAAAAAAAAAGGATTAGCTTCTCTCTGTAGGCAGGAAAGGAGCGCAGATACTTGCAAGTTACTGCAGCAAAGCAAGCCTTGCTTTGCTGGTTTGTTAATCAGTTCAACTCTCCTGCCCCAAGAATAGGTCAGCCAAAGCAGCCTTCAACTGGGAGGTCCAGCCCCTGCATACAGCGGCAGTCCTTCAGCAGTTTACAGAAACAACACATTAGTTGCTACAGTGAAGCACTTATAATCTGATGCCAGGGGAAAAATCATACTGTGCTGTACACTGGGCACAAAACCCAAAAGCCCTAAGTATTCTGGCATGGGCATACTTAAATTGATAAAGATGCAGAACATGATTAATATTTCCCCCGTTTTCCAGCAGATTAAGGTGTCTCTGGACCATCTACCACCATGCCAGGCTAGCTCCACATCCCTGCAGCATAGGCAGCCATGCTGGGAAGGGAACTCTCTGCCACCGTAACTCTCTCAGCCTTGGGATCACAAGTTAGTGCCCACAAATGGTTCAGCCTTCATTATCCCAAATACTCCCTGCCCTCAAACCCCAGTGGCCAACAGCTTCCACTTCCTAGGGAACAAAACCCACAGCTAACCCTTACTGCAAAACTCACAGCTAATCCTTAATAACCTGTAAAAGGATGAAGATAACCCATCAAGGGGCAACAGAAAAGCAGCAGATACACCAGCACATCACTGATGCTTTCCTAACAACTTACACGGGCAGAAGATACCTACTCAATGTGATAGCTATCTCAAACCTTGTTTCTCACCAGCTTGCAGAGATCACCAGCACCAGCCAAACGCAGCAGGGAACAGCCTTCTCCTTTCCTTTCTAGGGCCTTTTTCACCCTCTGCACCCAAACACCTTCCAAAAACCAGGTAGCTGATTCTCAGCGCTTCAGAGGCCAGGGTGCCCTGTCCTTGTTATGTGCTATGAAGGTTAGTGAGCAAGTGACTGTGAAGCCCAAGCAAGACCAAACATGGAAGGTCCACACCATCTCCCCACCATGCCCTGGCCCTCCAGCAGTAGCAAGTAGAGGCTGTTTCACTCCTGGGCCTTCTTTGGGCAAGCCAGCTAGTTAACTGTGCAGATGGTGGGAGTTTTGCTATGTTTTCTGTACTGAACAGCCTGGGCCAGACAGTGCCAGGGTTCAGTCCCAGTGCTGGGTGGCACCGACAGAAACAGCGCTCTGCACCAGCGGAGCTCTGTGGAGCAGAATCAGAAACGTGACAGTCCAGGTTTCCTGGAAACACCAGTCTTCAGCACCTTAACCACAAACCACCTGGGCCAAAGCAGCGCCTACAGACACATAGACAGGCCTCCAATGCCGAGCAGAAAACTCACAGATATTCCTAGTTTCTCCTATTGTCTCTTAAGCATCTAGACTGAAATCATATTGGCAGTAATCCGATACCAGCCCACAAGGAACAGAGCCAGAGCAAATCCAGCAGCCCATTTCGTCCCTAGCACGGGAAAGCTGTATTAGCACCAGGCACCTGACTCCTTGCTGATGGAACAAAATGTTTAAACAAAGTCCCTGTACCTGGGAAGCATATCAAACTGATGAGTCCAAAAGCGAAAGGCATTTTGTTCAGGCACTATAGAGAATCCTTTGATTCATCTCCATCAATTTCCACATTCTTCAGAAAACAAGACTTTTTTAAAAGTAATTTTAAAAGAAGGTATTTGTTTGGGATTTCCACATTTCACTCTTTTCTTTCCATGCTGAAAATCTAGCCATGACCATTGCTATCGTGATACTCCAGAAGACAGGAGCCTTCTAGCCTGGAAGCAAAGTGAACTACCAAGCAATGGCAGAAACAAGCTGGTTTCTTTAAGTTGTTTTCTTTCTTTTTAAA